GGGCGGGGCTCCTGCCTGCCACTCCACACTGCTGCTTCTGAAACAAAGGCAGCAGCATGGGGTGACAGGGGGCTCCCCGGGAGCAGGGCACTATCAAATCGTTGTGGAACTGATAAGGTTTTTTGCAGTTACACGACTATTCAATTACACAGCAGCTAATGTCCTTAGCGCCCAGTTCCCAATGGCAGCCCATGTACACAGCCAAAATCAAAGTATGGTCTAATGGATTTGAAGTAGCCAGCTAATGTCCTTAGTGCCCAGTTCCCAATGGCAGCCCATGTACACAGCCAAAATCAAAGTATGGTCTAATGGATTTGAAGTAGCCATATACTGAACCTCTCTGCAGTGTGCGCAATCAGATTCAGCAGCACAGGGCAGCAGGCAGCCCATCACCTGGTTTAAAAACCAGCTCCCCTTGTGGACCAGCTGCCTGTCACCCAGTGCTGCTGCCTCTGATAAGGAGGCAGCAATGGAGCAGGGCACTATCAAATCGTTGTGGAACTGATAAGGTTTTCTGCAGTTACATGACTATTCAATTACACAACAGCTAATGTCCTTAGTGCCCAGTTCCCAATGGCAGCCCATGTACACAGCCAAAATCAAAGTATGGTCTAATGGATTTGAAGTAGCCATATACTGAACCTCTCTGCAGTGTGCGCAAATATATTACACCTTCGCCAGAAAAGGGCTCTCCACAAGACATTCAGCTAGTAGCCATACTTAACGTGTGCAAATATATTACACCTTCACCAGAAAAGGGCTCTCCGCAAGACATTCAGCTAGTAGCCATACTTAATTCCTCACAATCTAAAAATGCACACAGCCAAAATCAAAGTATGGTCTAATGGATTTGAAGTAGCCATATACTGAACCTCTCTGCAGCGTGTGCAAATATATTACACCTTCACCAGAAAAGGGCTCTCCGCAAGACATTCAGCTAGTAGCCATACTTAATTCCTCACAATCTAAAAATGCAGAAGTGAGGACAGTTAGTAATTATAGTTTTATTACAAGGAGAGAAAACAACCCACAACTGGATACATTAGAGGTAATGGAAATGAATGCAGGAATCCCAGGCTAGAAGTTCATACATTCAGAAAGCTCCTGGGGGAACAGAAAGCCCAAAGAGGGAGGAACTGAGAAGCAGAACAGATCTTCCCTTGCTCACCTGCTGTACAGATATGGCAGGAAGAGTGAGGTGCCCAGGCAATGCCATTCACACATGCTCGGTGGTTGTTTAACCTGGCAACAGGCGTGCAGGGAACTCTGACGTCTAGAATCACCACCTTCGGAAGCAACAGGAAAAACATTTGTTTTCTGAAGAAAAACCCTTGAAAGAAACAAGACATTTTGGCAGACTGCTATGAACACAGCAGTCTCCAACGATATACACTACTGACCAAAAGCAGTTTTAAAAATAATATCTGGTTAGTTAGGTCTTTTGAAAGCAGCTACAGAACTCACTGTGTACACCTTGTGTAATATGTAACAAGGGCAGAGTGAATTATGAAGTTACAGTTCCAGGCAAGGGAATCGGTGATGTCAAACTAAACAAAACTCTGTGCCTTTTGGAGTCACTGGAGCTAGATGGATCTTGAGTATGAGCGTGACAAAAACCAGTGTCAAAATCAGCTGCAGGTTAGAGGAGCCTTTCAACTCCTCAAGACCTACAGCTGCATATTACAGACGCACAGACCTAGTAGACATACGAAATCAAGCTGGCTTTTATAAAAAAAAGTGTTAACACTGAAATTCAACATGAGAACTGAAGTGAACAGTGTACAATGCAGTGAACAACTCCACAGAATAGCTCATCCAATACTGCTCAGAAGCTAGGCTTCTTGCAAATCCGTATCTACAACCCTGTCCTGGATACCCAATATTAAGCACTTACATACCATTCTCCTCCTGCAAAATGTTTTCAAGCATTGACTGAGCAATAAACACATCTAAAAAGTCCAACTGCTGAAGCCTATAGGGCAAGTAGTCATTGCCTCACCTCCATACCATCCATGGCCATTGTTGCAAGATAGTTGGGATCCTGTTTGTTCCAACAGAGACGCAGCAATGGATGGTGTTGTGGATCCTCATAGATAATGGTGCTGTGCTCCAGATGACGAAGGTCAAACATCCGCACTGAGCCATCTGCGCCAACTGAAGCAAACATGTCTCTCCCGCCACCCGCGCGGCTAAATGCAATATCATACACCTGCTCAGTGATAGAGGAGAGAAGACGGCATTATTTTAACATTCCAGTTGGGTTCCTATTTCTCCATTTTCAAGGAACGTGTCCTGTTAATTCTTCCTCCTCCCCACGTGGGTTAGTGTTAGTGGATGCACAAAAAGCACACCATCATGTCAAAGTCTCTTGCAGTTTGAGATGGGAGCATGCTAGGAGTGCTAACCACACCGCTGTAAAAGCAGTTCCAGCTCTTATCTGCACCTGGGCCTTTATCACTCCAAGAAAAATATCACCATCATGTAGCACATGTAGCTCAGTGTGTATGCTTATTTACAGAGAAACATACAAAAGTCTTATGATCCAGGGTGGGATCAGTTTCTTATCAGATGCGTTCTGTCTGGGGAATGCACTAAGGGGAAGTTTCCATTTAATTAGAATGGCATCGCTGACTATTCATCATGTTACCAGGCATATGATTTTACTGAGAAATGCAACAAATTGTATGAAATATCGCCAATCTCTTGGTGGAATATATAATATAGTCTACTGACCAATGATGCAGCTAGAGACAGAAGCCTGTTCCCTAGCTCAGAATATGGTTATCCCCGTAAAAGGGAAATTTAGAGGAACATAACTTTTTAAGAGGGGGGTCTTTAAAAATGTATCAGTTCTAATTCCATCTTCTGAGGCTTTAGGAGTTGGAATCCAGAAACTAATACAACTTAACCAGAATAGTGGAGAGATAAGAAATTTACTACTACTACTATATATATATAATTTTTTTAGAAGCTTGAAATGAATAAAAAGGTCCTTTATAGGACACAGGTCTTACAGGTTTTGTTCAAAGTCTAGAATGACCTGCACCCCAAGATGACTTTTATACCACACATTTAATATAGTATAAAACAAAACACTTTTCATGTTATGACAACACTTAAGGAAGAAGGGAGGGGAGAGGAAGAGGTTGGTGGAAACTTTGCTGGGGAATACAGGCTTCAAGTTTAATTCAAACTACTAAAGATGTTAATAATGCTCCCTGAAGTAAAGGGGCAGAAAGTCTCAGGGAACAAAGAACCCTTTCCTTTCTTTCCCCACATACAGCAGTGCTCACGGGAGCTTCCTCTGAGAGGCACAGTCAGTAAAGATTCCCTGCTCCACTCCCTCATAAATGGAGCTAGGGAGCAGAATAAGTCTACCTTAGGTAGTACACTGACACCTCCCTGGTCCAGCACCCTCAGGACCTGAGTTGTCCCGAATAAGGGCATTTGCCAGACCAGGGGAGGTCAGGTGTCTGGGTTCTCCTGGGGCTCCTCCCCTGACTGCTGCCCTGGGAGAACCCAGAGGCCTGACCTCCTCTGGATCACGTGCCTGGCTCTGCTGCTCCCTGGCCACAGCCCTGTGCAGGGCAGCAGCTACTCCTGGGGTTTCTTGACACTGGCCGCCTGGCCCTGTATGAGGCAGCAGCCATTCTTGGGGCTCCCTGCTCCTGTTGGTCAGCCGCCTGCTGGGCCACAGCTGTTCCTGGGGCTCCCTATCCCTGTCCCCCCCCCAAAGGATGGCAGTTTCTCCCAGGGCTCTTTATCTCCAGGTCACTGGCTCTGTGGGCTGCCACCAATCTGACTGGCTCCACTCCCAGCAGCTCTCAATCTCTGCGGCTACGGCTCTTTGGTCTAACATCCGTGGTCCACAGATGTTGCCAGATCAGAAAGTCCCTGTATAAGCATTTTTCCATTCAGGCCTGATCCTCCAAACCCGTAACTGAATGAGAAAGGACATTCAGTATCAAGTTTAGAATAGGGGTGGGCAATAAAAGGGTGAGTGGTTCACCAGGATTAGCCCTTGGTGGGCTGCTGCTGCTATATTTATCTGTGCCTCTGCAGGTACAGGTGACTGCAGCTCCCATTGGCCAGGAATGGTGATCCATGGCCAATGGGAGCAGCGCTCCCCAGTACTTGCAGAGGCATAGGTAAATATGGTATCGTGGGGACCTGCCAAGGGCTAACCTCAGGGACAGGATCCAACTCGCAGGCCAGTATTTGCCCACCCCTGGATTAGAACAAAACAGATGGTAGAATATTCTACCATCTACAGTCTAAAAGGAGCACAAGCAACTATGGAGAATTTCAGATTACAGGCAACTTAATTTTAGACAAATATATAATGTACAATCCAACTGTTTTCTAAATCCTCAGATTTTTCTGGACAAAAATTGGAGAAATACGTTTCAGTTATAGATTTCAACAGATGTAATGCAGATAACTGTATGAATGAGGAAAGGAAGAGCAATATTATCACCTCTTTGTCATGTGCAATAAGCTGGGTCTTGACATGGCCCGATACCAGATTTACTCTTCCCAACACCTGCCCAGTCTCCAGGCCCCAAATAGTACAGGTTGTGTCAATACTAGAGGTACCTAAAACAAAAAGGTTGGTAAGTGGTGGCACTAAGATCTGTAAAAGTGCAATCTAATCACTTACAGAAGTAGTCTCATGTGTACTTTGAAATCTATGGGTAAACATGACATGAGCAAAGTCTTGATTAAAATGATGATTAAAACGTTTGACATGCCTGAATTAAACTATGGTCACAGATTGAATCTCGCCTGCACAATGTGTGGCCCATGACTCAGGTTATAAAGAAATGTTTAAGTCTCTAGCCCTCATAGCTGCAAAAACCCTCCCAAAGATGAATCAAGTATAAAGCACGCATGTCTGCCTGTCTACACAGATAGCCTAAGATAACCCACTGGGGTGAACTCCCCTACCCTATACGAAATTGACTGGAACATCAGCTCTAAAGCCCGACAAGGGTAGAAGTGAAGCCTTTGAGGGGTGCAAAATTCTGCAAAAAAGGAAACACTGGAATAAATAAAAGTTACTACAGAAGGGATACATGACCTCCTTGATCTCTCTTCACACTTCAACCTGATCTTAGTGGAGGTATGACTATGCACCAAAGGGAGTATACATCATCCTGGATTCACACCTCATCCCACACATTAGATTTAGACAATGCTCTGCTTTCAATGGTTTAAATCCTGCTGCTGCATAAGCATTTCATTGGAACAGACATGGGGTAATGATACTACCGGGGCTATGTTCTGTCCAACATTTTCAGCCGCAGTCAGATGGCTGAAATGTTCTAGAAGAGTCTCTGTACAAATTTAGCACTAACAAAAGGGGCCAGTTTGACTGCCCTGAAGACTGAAACCCTCTCTATTCAATATGTAGGTTCAGTTCAAAGAGCAGCCAGGGAACATCCTCAACCCCTGTGCACAACCCTGACCTGGAAATGCCTCCTCTATTTGGGGCAAGAGGAACGGGGGGAAGAGTTCAGACTCCACAGTCCACTCTTGTGACACTTAAGGCAGCAGGGGTTTTGTAATGTAGAAACCTGGCCACAGAACACCCATCAGCTGTTAGTAAGTTCTAGTCACTGTGCACCTGGGCTAGATTCAATATGGTCAATTTTATACTGAGTAACGTTTTAGCAGTCTTACCTAGAAGATAAGGATCCACTTCATTCCAATCAAATGACGTTAATGGAGCACAAAAATCAGAGTTCTTATTATTGTTCAGCAAGCATTCCAGTCGGGTCTCAGTTTCACCCACCTTCAAGGAGAAGTTAAATACACAATCACTGCCTTATTGAATGGCCTGGCTGCAAAATCTAAGAGGTGCCCCACAGGCTTTCAGAACTGCAATTCTTAACTGCATTTAACACTAGTTTCTTCCATAAATCTCTCTTTTGTGAAGAGCTCGTAGCCGGTTGGAACCAAAACTGAGAAAGGGAAGAGCATATATACCTAACAAGGCTTTGTTCCAACAGCAACTATTGAGCCTTGCCATCGCATTTCATAAGCCACTTTCATCATTCTGACACTCCCAGAATTCTTAAGACAGCTCACAACCAGGGTATTTTTATTGAGAAATTCTGTGCTACTTTGAGAAGGCAGGTAAAAGACAAATTATCCACTATGCTGGCTTTTAATTATATCCCACACCCCTGCAATATGGTGAGCACAATACTGGAGATAATCCACCTCAAAAGAAATAAACTGGGAGAGAAGGGAATCAAAATGCCATGAAGTTAATGGTACACATGTAATCCTTCTCAAGAGGCTATTTACTTACTCTCCATACACGCAGGTAGTCACCACTGGTTGCCAACAGGTCCGGATACACTCCTTTGGTGTCAGGAATCCACATCAGCTTTGTAGTAGGATATGGATGATCAAAGGTGTTCCTGCAAATGAACTCTGAGCTCTCCTCATCTAAACCAACCAGCTGGACCTGCAAAAAAACAAAATGTCTATTAATTTCAATTTTCTGCTTAGCAAAATAATCATGTACATAACATGATCAAGACAATGTGTATAAATGACATACTAGTTTTAAGAGTCTACAATTGGCTATGACAAAGGGGAAAATCTTGGGTATCTTTGTGCATTGTTCAATGAAAGTTTCTACTTAGGCCATGGCCACACTATAAACTTACTAGCTGGAGTTCCCCGGCATTGCTTGGGAAATTGGAGGAACAAAATAAAGAAAAACCGTAGTCCATCATCTTTTTTCGAATGATAGAAAAGTTGCACTGATTTCTATAGGGACTAAAATATAGGTCCAAAAATCTTGGGTATCTTTGTGCATTGTTCAATGAAAGTTTCTACTTAGGCCATGGCCACACTATAAACTTACTAGCTGGAGTTCCCCGGCATTGCTTGGGAAATTGGAGGAACAAAATAAAGAAAAACCGTAGTCCATCATCTTTTTTCGAATGATAGAAAAGTTGCACTGATTTCTATAGGGACTAAAATATAGGTCCACGTCATCCCCCGGGGTGCTGGGGACCTCATGCGGTGGGCAGGGCGGCCCCTGCAGCGCAGTGTGTTACTTTTTGATTTTTACAGCTTGAGCTTGGGTCCAATCGGGTACAAAAGTACCTTAAAACCTTCTCCTGGATGAAAGGTTATCCTATGCAAAGTTTGGATACGGTAGCTCTTATAGTTTCCAAGTTATTAGCCCACAAACTTACAAACATTCTCCTTTCTATATTAGACTAGCTGGACTTACCCGGCGTTGCTCAGGAAACCGGAGGAACAAAATTTAGAAAATTTAGGAAAGGAGGGAACCCTGGGGGCTGACGGCTCCTGACCCACACCAGACCCTCTGAGAGCAGCAGGACCTTCCTCCCCCCAGGACCGAGCAGCCAGCCCCCAGGAGAACAGTCCACAGTCATGCGGCTGGTAGCAAGAGGACTTCTCTTTGCAAGGTTGGCTCTGGGATCCACCTGCCCTGCCTTGACAAGCAAAAGCTCAGAGCTCACATCTAACCCCAATGGAACCAGACACAGAAGAGCCCCACTCACAATACGAACAGCAGCCAGCTAGCTTCACAGTAAAGTGAGGGTTTAACCCGGCCATTCCGTCGTGCGCTGCAGCAAGCACACGGATTCCTTCTGCTCGGATAAGCCCAGTGCAGGGGCAGATGACGATTTTGTGGGGTCCAAGGCAGCACAATTTCGCAGGGCCCCCCTTTGACACGGCGCATGCACGGAGCTTCTTGTAGAGCAGGGCCCAGGGTGGCTGCCCTGCTCGCCCTGCCCTATATCCACCCCTGCCCAGATTAAAGACAAAAAATGGAGGATCCTCCCAAGGCCCTCTTTACACCTTTGCCCATGTGGAGGGAAGCCCATTGTTCTCCCTGTGTTAAAGTATGTCCCAAGATGGAGTTTGTCACCTGAGCAAGTCACCTGTCCAGTCCTTTCTAGACAGCAGCCATCACTTACTTGTTGGTCTGAAACAATCTCATCAGATGTGGATTGGCACTACCTAAGGTACTGCTATTCACTCGACTAATAGTCTTATCACAAAAGGCTGTCCAAGCCTCCTGTTGATATCTCCCAGAAGCAAACATTTTGAAATACAAGCACATAGACAATACTTATAACCAGTGTTCTGTCTAAGCTGTGTGGCAGCACAGCTTCACAGGTGATTAATCAGCCCTGCCGAGACAGAGGTTCAGGGCTCAGTGCAAAGAGCTGACAATTATTAGATTCTCTATGTGGGGCACAGGCTGGCAATTAGGGAGATGGCAGGAGAGGGGTGGGGAGCAGAGGGGCACTGTATGTGGGGCACAGGGTGACATTTAAGGAAGTGGCAGCGGAAGGGGGGAGAGGAGCAGGGCGCTCTCCAGTTGGGGCACAAGTTGGCAGTTGGGAAGTGGTGAGCGAAGAGTGGGGAGAAGCGGGGCACTGTCTGTGTGGGACACAGGCTGACAGTTTGGGAAATGGCCAGAGAAGAGGGAAAATGAGTAAAGGAAGTTAAGATCGCAAGACAACTTGTGCCTAATTGAATCATTGCCAAATGAACTCAGTCATAACAAATTCAAATGGCTTTACACAGCCATAGAAAAAGGCTATTTCTAGCTTAGAACTAATCTGAAACAGACTTGAGTGTAACAACATTAAAGAACATCTTGCTGCTCTGGAAGGCAGAAATACTTTTTCCACTCCTAGGTTGTCTACACTACACTGTTCTTCCGGAAAAAGCTACGCAAATTGAACAGCTTTTTCCAGAAAAAGCTTTTCCAACATTTGGCTGGTCTAGACTGGGCCAAATGTTGAATCCCCCCCTTTATGAAACATCCCTTCTTTCTCGTAAAACGAGGTTTACAGAGATGCCGAAAAACGTGTCTGCTCTTCTGAACATTTTTTTGGAAGAGCAGACACGTTCCCTGGATGCGAAAGAGTTTTTCTAGGATAGCTCCAGTATCCCGGAAAAACTCTGTGATGTAGACATAGCTCTAGTGAAGAAGACAGAACTGCCTCCCACCGCAGCCAGGCCTCTTCTCTGAATACTCCCACGCCTCTCACCTGATTACTTATACCAATGTTGTTTGCCAGAAACACATAATGGTCTCAACAGAACAGAAAATAAAACATTTTTAAAGTGAATTAATGCTGACAATCTGGCTAGTTATTTACTAACATCACAGCTTCAGTTTTTTATTCTGGTTGCAAAGACGACTGTGATAAGACAACCGCCTACACCAGGGGTGGGCAATTTTTTATGAGGGGGCACGCCAAGATTTTGGAAAGCAGTCAAGCGACACAATCTTCCATGATATTAATGGAGGGGATCGCAGGGTATGGGATGGATGTTGGGTACAGAAGGGACCTTGTGGTAAGGATTCGGGTGAGGAAGGGCCTGTGAGGTCTGGGAGGGAGTTTGGGTGAAAGAAGCAGTTGTGACCTGGGGCACAGGATTGGAGTGCAGGGATTTGGGTTGTGACCTACGGCAGAAGGGGACTGTGATCCGGGGCAAGGGTCTGAGAGGAGATATGGGCTCGGGAGGAGGGCAGAGGGTTTGGGTTATGTGGGGTAGGAGTGGGGTGTCAGAGGGTTGGGAGGATGGAAGGGTTGGGGTGTCAGAGGCAGGCTTTGGCTGGGAGAATTATCTGAGACACTCCCGGCCAGCAGCCCAGCACAGTTCTCAGGCAAGAGCCTGCCCTGCCCCTACACAGGCTGCAGGGCCATGTGCTATGAATAAGAGCCTGAGGGAATGGGGGAGTGGTGCTTTTCTTGCTGCCTGTTCTTGAAACAGGCAGCCCCCATTGGCTAGAAACCACCCAATGGGATTGTGCTAGAGGCGGGAGCAGCACCACTCCCCCGGTTTGAGCGGTATGTGGCAGTCAGTGAGCTGCCCAAGGTCCCACTGGGCTGCTGACTGGGAGCTGCCTAGGTTAAGTGTCTCATGGCCAGAGCCTGCACTTGGCAATCCACTTCCTCCTGAACCCCTACCATAGGTCACAACTCCCTCTCAGAGCCTGCACCCCTTCTTACACTCCTCCTCCATATCAGAATCCTCTTCTGCACCCATACCCCTTCCTGGACCCCACACCCCAATCCTCTGCCCCAGGTCACAACTTTCTCCTTCACCCAAACTCCCTTCCAGACCACGCACCTCCTGCACCTCAACCCCCTACCCTGAGTTCCCTCTGCACCCAACTCTCATCAACATAGAAGAGCTCAGCCCTCAACCACTTACCAAGTTCTGAGTGCCCCCCAAATTATTGCCCAGCGCTGCCATAATACATGCCTTTGTCACCTCAAGACCGATTACTGCAATGCAGCCTGTGTAGAACTACACATTTAATCAGCTTTTCCAAGTTTATCTCCAGATGAACAGAGACTGGTCTGTGCCATTTTTCATAGTAGTACTTCCTTTATATCTGCAGTGTTGCCTAATGGCTAAAGCACTGGAGATCTGAGTTCTACTCTGCCTCAGTCACAGGCCTGCTGGACCATCACCTATGCTTCAGTTTCCCCATCAGTAACATGGGGATAGTGACATTGCTGGTTTGAAATCTAGGTATTCTATGCTTTGGAGAGTAATGAAAGCTTACAGTGGAGTGAATAGCATTTGTGTTTGTACCCACTGCAACAAAGGGGATAATTCACAACTCTATTACTGCACCAAATTCCCTGCAAACTCAGGTGAAAGCCTTGGAAGTGTGACTGAAACATCTCTTTATGAGGGATGTTAGATAAAGTGTGATTGAATAGTCGTGTAACTGCATGAAATCTTATCGGTTACATGATTATTCAATAGTCCCTGCCTCTGTATCAGAGGCAGCAGCACAGGATGGCAGGCAGGAGCTGGCCTGTTAGGGGAGCCAGTTTACAAAAACTAGCTCTCTTCAGTGGGAGGCAGCAAAGGGAGGGCAGGTGGGTTCATGTAACCAGCATGTGCAGAGAGCCAAAAGCCGGCTCCCCACGCATATTGGCTCCAGCTTGCCCCTCTCACTCTCCTTGCTGCTTCCTCTCTATCAGAGACAACAGCTTGGGGGTGGGGTGGGGCAGGCGGATCTGGTGCTCATGGGAGTCCTGCTTTAAAGCCACCTTCTCATGGTGACTGGCTCCTGCTACCCCCCCCCCCCCAAGAGGGGAACATGTGTAGTCGATAAGATTAATCGATAAGCCAAGGCTTACCGATTAATTGTGTAGTGGACTACACATTGACATCCCTACTCTTTATAACTTTGACAGCTAAAAATCTTATTTATTTATTTTTAAGTGAAAGCTGAGACTCTGGAGAGAAATTGAGAGTCCTGTCTGTACCCCTCGCTAATTATTCATGCCCCCTACTTGTAAACTGTGCCTTAAACCAGTTCAGAAACTTCTTGGGTGCAGAACGTAGCAGACTACTGGAGTGGAGAAACACTACTGAACAACAAGCAGCAGCACAGACCACTGCTTTAGTTTCCAGTCTAAACCTGAACTGTTTACCTACAAAGCCCTAAACCAGCATCTTTTACAGCAGGCTACGTAAAAAGCACCAGCAAAGTCAGTACAAATTAGA